TCTTTTACTAACGAATAGTGGGATTGACCATCACTTATAACGCCCCACGGTTGAAAGAGAGAGCATGTTTGGTGTGACGGGGATTCGAGCCCTCGACCCTCAGATTACGAGTCGAGCGCCCTAACCACCTGGCCATGCCGGGCCTAACCACGTGATTCCAAGAGGTAGTAATTGCCTTAATTAGTTAACATTTTGCTTTTGGGGGAAATTTATTGAACTGACGTTTCATTTTAATCCAAAAGTCCTCTACTATGTTAAAGTTAGGCGACTGTACTGGCCAGTCCATTTTCTGTGTACGTGATTTTCTGTGTACCAGTCTTTAACGAATTTGGTCTAAAAGCATGAAATCTTATCGTCCTGGATTATATACATGCAATTTGGGAACAGTTCTCTTGCTGATGGGAACAATCTAGAGTCAAGTACTGTAACATAACCGACAGCATTCATAAATAAACGTCCAATATCTTTGGCAGACATCCAGCCTCATATCATTACAGACATGGAATGCTATACTGTTGTAATTCTGAAGAATGGCTTTTATTCTTCTGACATAAGTACTACCTTTGTATAGTGAGTTACAAAATGTAAGTTCGTCACTCCACAGAACATGACACCACCGATGAACTTGTCAATTGTTATAGGTCCTGGCCCATGAACACATGTTAAATGCCATATTGATAAATAACAAAAATACTGTGATTACTAAAACAGACAACATCAGTCAACAGGATGACCCCTAAAGATGTAATCATAAAAGTGGCAGTATATCTGCTTCGCCAGGAAGGTCAGCGAGATTTTCTATCTTTCTTCTTCTTACTATTGATATTATGAGTTTCCATGTAGTGAAATAGAGTATGGCAAGAATGGTAAGAATGCAAATAAAAAAGGTCGTCAGTTGACGTGGAGACAGAGCTGGAAAATGACCCGAAGCAAGTGGATGTCCTGGAATGGCCTAGTCAAAGTCTTGACTTGAATCCAATAGAGAATTTATGGTAAGACTTGAAGATTGCAGTCCATCAACGATCCCCAACAAATGTGTCAAAATTGGAGCAATTTAGCCTGGAAAAATGGACAAAACGTACACACATCCCATTGTGCAAAGCTGGTAGAGACCTATTCAAAAAGACTCACATCAGTAACTGCTGCCAAAGGTGCTTCCACCAAGTACTGGATTTTGGGGCTGAATAATTATGCAATCAGCAAATTTCAATTTATATATTTTCTTTGCAGGTTTTGCTGACACTCAACCTCCTTCACACATAACAGTGTTAAGTTTGATCATTGATGTTTTAAATACAAACAAGTTAATTAAAAAAAGTTGTTTACATTATTTGTATTTCATCAAAATGGTCATTATTGGTAGGGGTGAATACTTTTGTAAGGCATTGTATGCATCCTAGCTTTGAAGATTTTAAGAACAAAATATTTAAAGTAACTGTGATAAAAAATAAACATATCTTGACAAAATATATCAATCTTGTTGCTTCGTACAGTAAAAGATGTGATCTGCAAGAAAAGATGATTCTTTCACATTTCATAAACCCATCACATTTACTGTTTATCATTACAGAAAATATACTTTACAACCAAAATAAGTTGTACGTAAGTCTAACATTGAAGTATGTATTTTGTGTATCACTAAACTTGACAGTCAGTAAAAATCGAATCTATCGATTCTTTCACCTTACATGACATACAAAAAACTAAATGTACGTTCATAACATTCTCAAGATTTGAGAGTAAATTGGGAATTTATTTTCTGTTTTCGATCTAGGGCTCACATATTTAGCTATTTAGCCTCGTGACGCCCTCTCCTGTCAATGACTACTTATATTTTCTAAAATCAAAGCTTATCAACGCCCTTTGAATTGGACCTCTAAGACAGTATTAGTGTAAGTTAATTATCTGTGCAAGATAATAGTTACAGATGTTTTGAATTGGACATCTTAGGTAGTATAAGTGTGAGTTAAATATCTGTGCAGGATAATCGTTACAGTTGTTTTGAGTTGAACCTCTTAGATAGTATTAGTGTGAGTTAAATATCTGTGCAGGATAATCGTTACAGATGTTTCGAGTTGAACCTCTTAGATAGTATTAGTGTGAGTTAAATATCTGTGCAGGATAATAGTTACAGATGTTTTGAGTTGGACCTCTTAGATAGTATTAGTGTGAATTAAATATCTGTGCAAGATAATCGTTACAAATGTTTTATTGGACCTCTTAGATAGTATTAGTGTGAGTTAAATATCTGTGCAAGATAATAGTTACAGATGTTTTGAGTTGAACCTCTTAGGTAGTATAAGTGTGAGTTAAATATCTGTGCACGATAATCGTTACAGTTGTTTTGAGTTGAACCTCTTAGATAGTATTAGTGTGAGTTAAATATCTGTGCAGGATAATCGTTACAGTTGTTTTGAGTTGAACCTCTTAGATAGTATTAGTGTGAGTTAAATATCTGTGCAGGATAATCGTTACAGTTGTTTTGAGTTGAACCTCTTAGATAGTATTAGTGTGAGTTAAATAACTGTGCAAGATAATCATTCCTTTATAATTTCTACTATAAAACCACAAAGTTTTGAATTTCAATCGTATAATACGTTTTGTACTTCAAGTGAATGTTCCATAGAAAATCATAAAATGGTAAGTGTTGCTATTTTAAATACTTTCTGCAATAATAGAGTGATTGGTTAAACATAAGTCATTCATTTATCATATTTGGGTGTAGCAACATAATTTACTACCGAGTTTATTAACCATTTGTTAAAGTTAGAGATGGGAATGAAAACAAAGTTATACACATAGAGGGTTAGCATAAGAATATGTTTTAAGCCAAACATTATAACTCGTGAAAGATGCTTTATATACTAGTATATATATATATATATATATAAAGTGAAGCAGTAAGCTTGTATGTTAAATTATTGTGTATTAGTTAGAGATTTAAATAATTATCTTATCATGAAAACTCCGTCCTTTTCAGGACGATAATTGTAAAAATATGTTATGGTAATTAAATATAGAAATGAAACCTATACTACAGTACGATAAATCATAAAAACTACAGAGTTGATGATGTGATCACATGTTCAGACACGTTGAAACACCCTACGATGAGCTCATACCTTATTGAACTATCCGCTTATATAAATACCATCCGTCTATGCAAACATTACTATCAGTAACACAATCCATCTATAGAAACATTGCTCTTAGTAGCACCATCCGCCTTTAGTACTTTAGTAACACCATCCATCATCCTATTGAAATAACCGCCATAGAAACACTCTTCTTAGTAAGACCATCCGACTATAGAATTTTAGTAACACCGTCCGCCTAGTAACACCACCTGCCATTGTGAAACACATGTAATACAGTTAAATACACAAATGAAAATTATAAACATAAGTTGAGACATGTTGAAATCTGTATGCAGTCCTACAGAAATATAATAACACTATTCGCCTATAGAAATAACAACTGCCTTTGACCAGCACACACATTACGCCTAGTAATATCATCCACCTAGCAACACCATCTACCTATACAAAAACTACGCTTAGCAACACCGTCCACCTATAGTCATCCCCCTCTGGTGTCTATTACGTAATAGTTATGTAACCCTTAGGTGTTGGTATAATTTTCATATTAGATAATAGTTATGTAATCCTCAGGCGGAAGCATCCTTTTGCCGCCATACAGACTCCCTAACATCTGGTGTGAGTACTTCATAGAGATAGCTCTCTACAATGTTCGTGTATGTTATGTAATCCTCAGGCGGAAGCATCCTTTTGCCGCTATACAGACTCCCTAACATCTGGTGTGAGTACTTCATAGAGATAGCTCTCTACAATGTTCGTGTATGTTATGTAATCCTCAGGCGGAAGCATCCTTTTGCCGCTATACAGACTCCCGAACATCTGGTGTGAGTACTTCATAGAAATAGCTCTCTACGATGTTCGTGTATTTGGAATACACGATCCTACAGTCACATTGCGTTTGTTGCGCGCCACATTTTGGCTCATAGCTCATCTTCTAATAAAGATAATTAACATCCTGTTTTCATTAATTAACTAGTATCAAATTTCCTTTTAACATATGTATAATATATTCACAAACAAATAATTATGTTATAAATCAAAAACAGGAAAAAAGTCAAAATTCATTAAGTGGTGTAGGACTGTACAGACCACTGTACTGATTATCTATAATCAGCAATATATCATTTCTTACTAGTTACAAACACAAATACGACTTGTATATGATCTTAATAAAATGTAAAAAAAATTATTCCATGTGCCCGAGCAATGACAACAATTACAAAATTAATTTAACAGCTCACACTGGTAAGTTTTCACTTTCAAACGATTTAGTCATGAATATAATTACAGAAGAAATAATTCACTTTTACATATGTTAGACATAAATACTGAATAATTTACATAATAAATTCATTCCATTTTTTATCACTTAAACTTGAGTAGGTTAATATAATAAATAATTTGCAGAATAGAATCATTTCACTTCCATATGATTTACACTTAAATATTATTACATTAAAAATAATGTTATCAGCTGAATGAGCTCAAGTTTGACGTTAGTTGAGCAATAATATATTTGTTACAGAATCAATAATTACAATAATTTTATTTTAAGTGATTTAAACATGAGAATTAGAAAGAAGTATTTTTAGATTCGTAAAAAGTATTAAATTTGTTTTTGCAACATAATAAAACATTAAAAGTTTATTTTAGTCAGGACAAAACGAAAAGTTTATTAAACTATTTTTTTTCCGTTTTCGCAAAGTGCGAATAAATAAATAGGTTTAAATAACATGTATCTCATGATAATTTATATAGTAATTTTTTTACTTTTATCTGTAAGTACTAAGGTAATATAAATAGAGCAAATATTGAAATATTACTAAGCATATTTATCATTAACAAAAATGTACCTCTTTTATTATAATAATATCAATACACAAAAACTTATTTTTATTTCAGACGAAAACACATCTAGATGTGTTAGCTGATGCTTTATTAAGATGGGCAAGAGGGCGATTTTGAAGAAGAAATCCAGGACGAAACTCAAGAGCGAAGTCTGTTCTTTGCTGTTTCCACATTTTTACATCCAAACCCTTGTTTTAAATCTCTAATTTTAATAAAACCATCCAATATCTTGAAACTCATTTTATTTCGCAAACGCCAAAATTAAGAATATTTCTACATAGGTCCAAAATTTCTTTAGTAGGTTCTGTTTTATTATATCTTTATCTTCATTAGTGCTTTTCATTTCTTATAACCGGTTTTATCTAATCACTTTTAGCAGCTTTAATAATTTGTTTAACAGATTGAACTCATGCCGTATGGCAGAATCTTTTAATGAGGGTCACAATTCGCAGCTTGACAATCTACAACTAACTTTCAAATACTCTATACGTGCGAATATTTTTGTATATTCTGTATTCTTATTTGCATTCTGGGTTTTATATTGTGTTTTCCAAATTAAAGCTCGAAAGTAGGTTTGAATATTACTGACGGAAAATATTTGATGGTAGAAAAATTCTTAGCCTTAAGTATATTTGGTTACGATATGTTTATGCGTAAAAATAGAAGTATTAGTAAATTTTAGGTCATCATCAATGATTTTTTTACCTTTAGTTTATGTAAATTATATATGTATATATTTATATTTGTTTTTTATAATATATCTTACACAAACCAATTAACGAATTGCCATTTTGTTTTCACTATTTTTATTTATTTATTAATATTCATATCCTCTAATTTGTCTTTGTCAATCCTTATCTGACTGGTAGACGATGTATGGTTGTTTGGTCACAATAATATTTCAGTAACAAGGATAAAGTTCTTGTTGTGGGTGCTGCCATCTAAAAGAATATTATTTTTTAGAATTAATTTGTCAGTTGTTTCGTATATCAATTATCGTGGCACATATCTTTGGACAACTTTATCACACCTACTTCTAAATTTATTTATATTTATAATCAATAATGTTGTAAATTACCATGTGTAATCAAAATTATCCCTTCAGGTTACTTCCTTGTGGCTAGATTATCCACACAGAGTGACTGTTTCCCATGGCAATTTTTTCATGAATATATATCATGTGTAGTGACTTTTGTGGTAAAGTTGTTCTTGGTGTCTCAGATTGTAGCTAGTACATTGAGTACATTTTAAATTATGAGATTTCAATGCGAAATATATAGCCATCAATATATATATTTATGTCTATTAGGAATTAATACAGCCTTATTGTTAAGCGGATGCTATTATGTACTATTATATGTTCCTTAAGCAACTAGTGCAGTCTTCGCGTTGAGCAGTAACTTGATTTTTTAGCGCCATCTATCTCATTACGATCGATTTGCTTGAATGCGCCTAACGAAAAAATTTAAATGAAATAAACGCGTCAGAAGCCTTTGTAACAAGTGACCAATAAAACCAATAGAACTTTAAATATCGCGAAGTAACAACAACCGGTTTCAATTTCCGATAGTATTATTTTATAAATGAATGCTGACGAATCTATCCAGTTTAGAGAAAAAAATATATGGATTTAATTTCAAAGATGAGGAGACCATATATATGAAATCTGTATCAGACAAGAAACATACTTTGATAGTCTTAACTACGAGACATTGGAAGGAGAAAATTCACGCTTATTTTCCTGCGATTTCGTCCACAATGAATATTTAGATTATATGTTACAGTTTGCCGCATTTTCGTACAGTAGGCATTCAGGCATTAATGTAGCGATCGGAGATATTTGGAATATAACAACTGAATTGTTCAAGTTAGCTAAGCAGCTGTTATTATGTATCATTATATGTTTCTTAGCAACTACAGCAGCTTTCACATTAAGCATAGTTTGCATGAGAACTATCCAACTCTCTTTTAATGTACACTCTTGTATTTATAATTATATTATAATTTTTGATATTTTACACGCTCAGACTGTGGTGGTATAAATCACGCATTTGTGAGAAAAGTTTGGAACATATTAAAATTTTGGACTAAATATATTTATTCATTTAATCTTACTTTTGTGCTCAAAATATTATCAGACAGTCTGCAAAGTATGGATTGTGTTTCATATTTTTGGCTATTTGGGTAAAAAATGGCAAACGAAAATTCATAAAATATATATCTCATTATATATTTCTACTTTCTTCTCCCAAAAACATGAATATGGTGGCCAGAATTATATTTGATTATTACACCCCAAAATGTTGTGAACATAGTATATAACAAAGTAGTGAATTTCATCATAACTTTAGATCGTTTTATAGTTTATACAACGGATATTAGAAGCTCATGAACCGTAATTAATTTTACTTGATGTCTTTGAGTATTATTTCCAAAGAATTATATGAATCAAAGCGTCCAAGTTGATCTTAACCAGTTGTGAAATTTATGATCAAAATCATTAGGAACATATCACCAAATACTAAATCCCCTTTCGTTTATACAAACATGCTTCTTTTTTTTATATAAAAATAACCTTGTAATTTCTAAAGTTATTTTAAAAAACCAATATCCTTTCTACGTTGGATTAACATTAAATACATTTTGTATGTAGAAAGAGAATGAAACCAGGTCGAGACATTCGAAATATCCTACTTCTATTGTACTTTGATTTATACATACTAATGCTCACTACAGAAACAGTGGTGGGTTTAGAACTCATAATGTCATTTCGACTGTGTGTTTCCTAATCAAATGCATGTTGGTTCTGTTGATGTAAAAGATACAATTAAATACGTAGATAGATATCAGATGCCAGACTAAAATCCAAAGCGTATCTATGATTCGTTTATCGAAAATAGTGATAATTCGTAGTTTTAAACCACTGTTGTATAAATGCGTATACTAGGTGAAACAGTTGTAACTAATGGATGTTAAAAACAACAGAGAATCCTCAATAGCCGTGGCTGTAAGTAAATCTCAAATCGCTCAAGATATGGAGCCATGAGCTTGTACTTAAAAACTCAGAGTCATTCTATGAGCCGTTTTGCCGCGACTAAAAACTGTTGGAACTGGCTTCGACGCAGGTTGACCTACCATATTAATGCACTCTTGTCAGTGATGTGGAATAATGCATAAAGACACACATTTTTGTGATTAACAAATTGTCATTCATCATTGAATATTGTGAATAAGAAGCCTATATTAAACAGTTTACATTCTGATTATTCAAAAATTATTTTATGCTAATCTCTAATTAATATATCTTGTAAACAAAAATTACTCACGTATAAAAGCTGTATTTTCATACTTTATAATTATTATTAGTTTTAATTTAGGATTAAATCAATAGTGGTTAGAAAATGTAGCATTTACCCTTGCTTTGTGCTTAATTACAAACAAACATTCAAAATGTTTTGAATCGATTAATTTATTTTATTCACTAAGGCTTCCTAGTTCTCTTGTTATTGTTTTGAATATTACGCTAAACAAGATAAAATACGCGAATTAAAGATTAACATGTCTAAAACCTTCCAGTATGCACTACTCATTTTGAAAAACAACAAAAATGAGAGTTTGTTTACGAAATACTGGGTAGTAGATGTGTATTTGTTAAATAACCAAATATAACTATAAACTATAATCACAATGCCTATAAATCTTTTTAACAAGATATAAGTGTTTAATAATGTGCAAAATATCAGGCTTGTATTCTAAAACGTATTTTGTCAATTCAAAATATCCTTTAGTATTAATTTCACTGCATTTTCCTTAGTAAAAATCTATCGTAACAATATACATGTTTTGTGGCTATAAGGCTGGCAGAATGAGTTTCGTTGCGATACAGTTTTAAATAACTGGTTTAATGGTTAATATAACTTGAGGGAACTGGTTCAAACTCACGTAGAAATTCAGCTTATTTGAAGTATTTTAATATAAATATAAGATACTGAATTTTGGAGCTTATATCCACTCTTAAAATAATCTTGACGACGAAATATGTTAAATAGGAACATAAATTAGTATACATATCATGTTTGTGATCAACATGTGTTATACTGAAATATATGTAAAGTTTGCAAAATTTGTTTCCCTATACATTCAAACTGAAAGTATATATTAAATATCGCTTTACATGGATTACACTTAAAAGACCCAAATTTGTAAAGCAATGAAAGCTCCATTCAAATAAACGTCTTAAAGTAATCCTGATAGCATTTTTCAACAAATGGACTCATGCTTATGCCGACCTGAAAACAAACTCAGCATTTCTCGCTATGTCACTATATTTTGCGTGAAAAGGAACAAAGTAACACGTTTCAAAACGTACCTTCTCGTAGTTACTGTTAGACTTTTTAGTCGTACATAGATCTTGCAATTACTAACTGTTATTTATGTTCCTTTCCTATTGTAATAGAACTACGATTTAGATGAAGAGTGATTGTAAATGAAGATTATAAGATACAGTAGATAAAAATAAAAAACATGTTTGAAATATGTGATATTCAATCTTGATTTGAAAATCAGAATGATGTTGATACAAAAAGACAGTAATTCGTCAGAAAACATGTTGAAAAGCTTTGCTACAAAGTTTTCTTGTATTCATGTTTCAATATGATAATGTTTTTGTGCTCTTTTTATTTGTTTTTTTTATATAGATGAAATCAATTTGTCTAATTACCAATACAAATGCATACACATATATTGGCAAATTTTTAACTAATTTAGAAAAATAACTGTCTAGTTTTTAACATTTTCTGAACGTTTGCAATTATTACAAACAATTCATTATAGGCATTTCAAACTGATTTATGTTATAAAATGAGCAGCTTGTAACATACTCTGAATTAAACATTACTGGTTATTTTTTCATATTGTTTAAGCTAACAGTATCGAATCACTTACTGCTAGCCGTTTTCTGTCAAATTCATGTTTGAATGTAATTTGATATCATGTTTAACAAACATGTGTTTAAAGTGCTACAATATTGTTCTTCCTAATGATACTGTTTCAGTAAATGGCTTGATGTTTAAAGAAATTTTATTCATTTGTTTTAACGTGCAGTACAACCAAATCATGTATTTTGATGGCAGACATATTAATTTATTTTACTTCGAAAAACTTTTCAAATACCAATCATAGCAACTATATTAATTCTAAGTCATATTAGACACTAAAAACTAGTCTAAGCCCATGATGTACGTGAAGTTTTATAAATTTTATGGCAAGAAACATATTAATAAATGCTTGTACATTTTTTAGAATGACATTTGTCCTTTAATAATAAGAAAAAGAAAATATTAGAGCATGCTCCCTCCCCAAGTGGGTCAGTGAAAAGTTTATGGACTTACAAAGCTAAAATTCAAGGTTCGATTCTTCGTGGTGAACAGATCTTTTTGTTAAAACAAACAAACAAATTGACAACATTGCCACGTAGAAAAATCAAGAAACTTTAAAACTGTTAAACCACTACGGAATAATATAGGCATCAAGACTGATTTTAGTAAAAATGCTTCAACAAATTAGATATGTAATTAATCTTTATACGCTTAAAGCATGTTTTCTTCATAACGCTATGTTTAAAATGTTTTCAAGAAAATACTTTTATGTTGTGGTGAGACTTCTAGAACAAATATT